TGTTGGGGAGATGAGAAGGAGTTTTTAAATTGCCCCAGCCTCTGTGCCCAAAACTTAATATGATAGGCGGCCTGAGTCAAGCCCACCCATCAATGGATGACTCTTGGACCTCAGGCTTGGAGCTGCTCTAAAGAAATCCCAGTTCAAATTTGTACTGGGTAAAAAGGGTGTGTCTCAGAGCGAGACTCAAGTTTGCATATAGAGATGTGGTTCAGGGCCTTTGGTTACCACTTGAAGGGTCTGCTGCCAAGGCAGAGATGAATCCACCCTGTGCTCCTTGTGAGGGTTCAGGAAGATGAGAGAGGTACAAGCCACCCGTCCCTCTCTGCAGACAGCACCTGCCTCGCTCCCCCATGTGTTCTGCTCGCCTGGGAGCTGCACGGTGGTTTGCAGCCTCACGAGAACATTCTTGACTCATCAAGCTTCACGGAAGGTTATTATCAGCACCGGTCAACGCGGTTGCGGCGCACACAGAAGCAGAGGGAGCGATTCCTGCTCAGGGCTGGATCCTCCCCTCCCCCAGTGCACACGCTCCCGCTCGCTGGGGAAAATGCTGCTGTTGTTCCAGGCAGATAATCGCCCCTTCCCTTGCAAGTCCCTGCACGCTCCTGTGCAAACATACCCACAGAGCATTCAGCACAGCAGATGCTGAGGCTTAAAGGCCAGACCCACAGACCGGCTCTCCCTTTGCAAAGGAGAGACAAAGTTCTTTGTCCCTGAGGAAGGTAGCTCTCCATCTGCCTCGGCACCACCTCAGGGCCCAGCAGAACCTGGCACACCAGTGAGCGGGCATTTGCTGTAGATTTGGAGGTGGCCAAAAATCAGGTCAGGCAAAGGAGAGCAGCAGGAGCTGGGACTCCTTAGGAAGTGCCCACCATGAGGTTGGCTCCCCACCCTCACAACAGCTGGACCATTTCAGTCCCTAGCTGGGCCAGCATGCTCAAAGGGGGCCAAACCCTCAGTAGGGGTGATAGCAGGGGTTGCACCATCATGTCTGCTTCGGAGGGCAGGAGCATTTGGAGAAACACCCCAGTGCCACATTTCAACAGCACTGCCCTCACCTCCACTGCCATGGTAATGCTCCAGTAAGGCCAGTTGTGTGTTGGGCAGGAAGGACACATGTTTAGGAGGATGAGCTGGAAGATGGACCTGCAGGCATGTGTTCAGGAGGCAGCAGGTCTGGTGGCCAGGGCAGTGAGCAGGTATAGCCATCGGCAGTGAGGCCCCTATAAGTATTTCTTGTTGGTCCAGAGAGGCCCGTGGTGATTTCCCTACCCTAGCCTGAACGTGCTGCTTCTCTGCAGAGCTCTTTGCGTGCAGCAGAGCGAACGTCTTGGCTTTATCAAAGGGAGATCTTGGGCAGAACTAGGAAATGAAATCTCTGCCCATGATTAGGGAGAAAGGAGCGTCCTTGCCAGCCAAGTGATGGAGCTCTGACGTTCCCCACACCTTGGAAAAGAGCCTGTTGTATCCAATGGAATGAGATCCCAGCAGCAGGATGTGGTGGCATGGAACATTAACACCAGCTTACGGAGCTTTTTTTGGCTTGTTTGATTGACTGAGAGGTGTGAAGCAGCACTCAGGGCAAAGCCAGGTATCATGCACGGCTCCGTCTCCCTTCTTGCCTCCCTCCTTGGCTCTGCTCCCCCAGCCAGGCCAACCCTCTATGCTTGAAACCACAGGCAATTTTGCAAGCCACCCCTTTCTGCAGGAGCAGGAGTCACTCCTTGGGACAAACACGACATTTTTCTTCCCAGTCCAGCCTGACTTCAACTTGAGTAGGAGAGCCAAGACAGCAGAGCCAGACAGCTTTCACCTGTCCCAGGCTCTCACTCACCACTGACAGAGAATTAACAGCTGGACCCCAGGAGAAGTTCTCCTGTGCTTCTTTCCCCTCATGGATCGCTGGGTTAGTAGCTGATCCAAATGGTCTCTAAAAGCCCATGTTTGCCTTTGTATGGAAGGAAAGAGTCCATCTTAGAGTCCTAGTCAGCTATAACCTGAGGATTTTGGAGTCTCTCCTCCATAATAAGAGTGCTGCTTACCTCGATGCCATGATTTGACTAGGAAGGACAAGATTTTCTATTAAACTATCTAGTACATTCAAAAAAATAGGCTTTTGGAAAACCAAGTCTTCCTTCACTTGTGTCCCAAAAAAAAAACCTCTCTGGATTTTTTTTCCAGCTACACTTGTTTGGCTAATATGATGTTTCTCTGCTCCATAGCCACGGAGCAAAGTCTTTTTTGAGAACTAAGTCCCCTTCAGTTAACAAGACTGGTACTGTGCTCTGCCACTGCTATGGAAAGGCAGACCCAGTGTTGCAAATCTGCTGGCAACCAGGTGAAGCTGTCAACAGCTTTGCATGCGCTGGGAGCATGTGCATGGTTTGGAAAGAGATCAAATCATAACCACCTGAAGGTTATGTCCATCCTCTCTGCAGGGTCTGCCTGATGCATGGCTCTTCCATGAGCACCAGCTTCCTCAAACAGCTTTCATCAGCGAAGCACAGCAGAGAAAAGGGACTGAAAGAGGGTCTCTGTGACCTTCTGGAAGAGCAATGGGACAGTGCAAAAAAGAAGAGCTGTCTTGTGTGCAGCATGATAGTCTCTTGCCTTGCTGAAGATGAGCACTGCTAGCCTTGCTAGCTGAGAGTTCACTCCTTGCTACACTGGATGAGACCAAGTTCCCAAGCTCAATGTCTCCAGGGCTACTCACTGGTGCAGATGGAGGCGAAAGGAGCAAGGCACCTGACCAGTTGTGAAAGGCTCCAAACACAGGGAAATGCTGGTTCTTGTAGCAGTCAGCTGATGCCCTGAAGCCAGACGTTTGCTCACTTGCACCTTGGTATGTCTAAATATAATACAAGTATTGTTCTGAGCCCTGCCTCAGCCCCAATGAAATCCAGCTGCCAATACCTGATTTTCTCGCCTTCCACGGCTGCGAGAGATGCAGCTGCATGAAGGAACTTTTCCTTTCATTCCTCCCATGCACCTCCCATTGCCTCTACTGACTGATCACTTGGCCTTCTCTCATGGGACACCTTAAGAAGAGCTGATTTGAAATTTCAAGGTACTATTACTTTTACTACCATGTTCACATTCCTCAAAACTTCCCTGCAAGTTCTCTCATAATTCATCTGACTAAGCCAGCTAGAAAAACGGACAAGCCGCACATGTAAATCCACCTGGATTTATCCCCTCTTCTCATTCAGTTCGAACTGAATGGCCCCAAAAGCCATGATAAGCTCGAAAGCAAAGACATTTCCAAGTGGAGTTAGGCTTTTGTGAAGAGAGCATCCAACATGAACATTTGCAGCACAAAAACAAGCAGATTAGTTCCCAAACCAGTACTGTCCCAGGTAACCCCAGGGAGATCTCATCATGCTGTGCAAATTTCTTCTCTTATTCTTGATACAGTCAGTTCATTAGAGTTAATCTAAAATGCTGAACAATCTTGATTCCATCAAAACTGCATTTTCTGTTGAAATTACCAGATTGTCCTCAATCACCTCCACCAACAACCCCGAACACTCTGATATATCATGGGTCAACCTCTTCACATCCCTTTAGATTTGCACCATGAAAACTCATCGATAATTTGTGTCCTGTGATTTTATTTCGACACTGTCCAATTTGAGATGAGTTCTAGCTGAAGCTGAGTGTGTGGCTGGAGGGTTCACAAACTGCAATCCTGGGGGATTTGCTGTTGAATAGTAAGGTGGAAGTTTGTATCAACCCCTTCTCCTCAAACAGGATGCTAATGGGGTCTGTTTCTCTCCTCTACCTGTTCCTCTGCTCATATCCAGCACTGTCCCCTGCATGGAGCCTCAAAAGGAGCAGCTGTTCAGACTGTTTAAAGCTAAAACTGTCCAGTTTTCATACTCTTTTACTTGTTTTTATTTTCCTAAAACTGTACAGAACACTTTCTGGTTTTTTTTTCCCTGTGAAAAAAAAATAAAGCACCACAGGGGGAAGAGCTTCACCTAAACCTGAATGTTGAGCAAACCAGCACACCCTGTATCTGTTCAAACCCCTCTGCAGTCCAAAGGGGGTATGTGAGTATTTACTGAGGGGTGGGAGGAAGAGGAGGGGAAGTGGACTGACACAAAGAGAACCAAAGCTGCCCACAGACTGCCCACACTCTAGCCAACTTCATGAGGAACACCCACAGCAGGGTCCCCATCTCTTCCCCTCGGTCCAGCCCCAAACAACACTCCCAGAGCTGAGATGCTCATTCTTTGCCAAGAAAAATCCCCCAAAGCTCTGGTACAACTTTTGGCCTCCCTGTGCTGCCATCTCTCCTTGCTGCCTTGCTCTCTTTTCTCTGCCTGCTGCCTTTTCAGGACAGGGACCACCTTCTCATCCCCTGCCTGTACGGCGCCGAGCACCCTGGGGCTTTTTGGCGGCAGCTGAGGTTTCTGGGGGCTCCCCCAACACAAACAACAACAACCTTCAAAGCACCTCTCTGCACACAGCTGCTCTGAGGGCAGATTCAGGTTTCCCCCACCCCCCTTCTCCCCATCCCTCCTTGCAACACCCACCTGGCAGCTGCTTAAAAACGATCTTTGGGTTTTTCAGGTGTGTTGAAGGGTTTTACCTGACATAGTCCATGCCCCCCCTCCACAGTTGAGGTCCTGGGTTTCATGGTGATACTAGTTAATCTAACAGTAAAAAGCTCTGCAATTATTTGGCTCTAAGGCTTGGGTCCTTGCCCAGCTCTGACATACACACACAAGTTCACTTCTCCAGTGAGGGAGCGGGCGATGCCTCTCCTCTTCCTCCTCCTCCAGCCTGTCACGGAAGGGCTGGCTCTCCAGCAAAGGAGTTCCACCTCCCGCAACTTTCTCCCTCGCTGCTCTCAACCTGTGCTGCCAGAGGCTCAGCCAGCAAAATCCCTCCTTGCAGGAATTTCTCCGAGCCCTTTCCTCTGATTTACAAGCGCCATGGAGCCCCAGCAGCCAGCGGGGTGCTGCTGTGGGAGAGGATTTTCAGCGGCGAGAGCAGAGAGGCAGTAAACTTCAGGAGAGGTCTCTCTCCTGTTCCAACAGGTAAGGCATGCTGCTCGCTGCTGTGGGAAGCTGAGATGACTCAGGGATCAGTCTGTACAGCTCGGATGGAGGAAGGCATGGAGGATGCAGAGATTTAGTCATGAAACTGCTTATGCATGTGAGTAACTTTTGCTGGAAACAATCTTATCCTAAAAAAAAGGGATTTGGGATGCAAAGGGAGAGCCCTTCATTCTTTCCTCCTTTCTGGTAGCCCTAGAATGGGAGGGGGGGGAGTTTTATGGAAGGAGCCAGGAAAAGCTTCAGCCCTGTCTGTGCCAAGTTTGCACCTGGTCTTAGGTGGGAGAGTTTGTCATGCTGCAGCCAGTGCAAGCAGGTGGGCTCCAGCTAGCAAAGGCAAAAGCCACGCTGCAGAGCAAAGCAGGAGAGGAGGGACTGAGCAGAGTAGTGCTCCAGGTGTCTGCATGGAGCAGGATTTCTGCAGGGAATGCGCTTATGCTGGAGCAAATGGATGTGCTGCTGAAGGAGCAGTGATGGCGTCAGGCTGTAGGCTCGGCTGTTGGCCATACACAACCTCACTAGCCAGGGTGAGGTGGTACCACCCTGAGCTCTGTCCCCGTGTTCGCCATTAAGCCTCTTCCATCGTCATCTCAAACTCGGCTGTGCCTTGGGGATCTCTGAGCTCCTCGCCTGCCCTGGTCCCCCTCCACAACAGGCAGCAGAGCTGGGGAGCTGAAGCAAGAGCATGGGCACTTGGAGCAACCGGGGCCCTTCCAAACAGTGGTTATCAGCTAATCAGCCTCCCGGGGGAATTAAAGGCAGACTTGGTGGAGCGCAACACTCCAGAGGGGCAAAGATCAGCTGTCACACGACAGGGGTTGCTTTGGACAAAACTCTTAAAAAAAGCTGGCGCTCACTTGGGTTTGCTGCTGCAGAGGGCTAAGAGTTTTCAGGACGTGTGGAAACTCGGGCTGTACAGTGGCCAGAGCTTGGCAGGGTTTGGTGGGGCAGGCAGAGCTGTGGCTGATGGGCTCCCGCTTCGCCCAAAGTGTCCTGGAGCCAGGCAGGAGGGCACAGAGCCCACTGCGTCCTCTGCTCCGGCACTCGGGGGGGCAAAGAGCTGGCATGGCACACGTAAGGAGCTGCTATGGCTCCCCAGGCTGTCTGCTAGAGAGGCTTGGGAAGTTATCGGAGCCTCGGGACGGAAAGCAAACAGTCTGTATCGGGCTCCTGAGGAAGGCTGGGCTGTCTCGGTATTCGGGGAGGCAAAAATCACTGAGCTTGGTATTGTGCACTCTTATCATCTCCTAAGATGCAGTGCACCTCACCTTATCAGGAACAGTTCAGGGACATCCGCCTGTCTGATAAATGGTTGAGGGACTGAGCAGGCAAGAGGTTTCTAACCCAGCCAGGGGCTCCGGTCTCTGCCTCTCCCCATCTCCTTGTTGTGCTCCGTACCACTAGAGAAGTGAGTCCAACCACCCTGCCCATGGATGGGAGAGCACAGCAGGATCTGCTCCTCTCCCAAGCCTTTCCCTGAGCTACAGCTTGCCCCATGAATGTGTTTCAAATCCCAAAGCTTCCAGAAACCAGCACGTCTCCCAGCCCTCCAAACAAACAAGCAGCATTCATGTACGAAGGGAGAGTTCAAAGGAGGCGTAACACCTGGAATCAAACATCTGTTAGAAACTAATGCATTTTGCATCCTACGCTCCTGCCAACTGCTCCAAGGCAAGTCCTACAGGATCGTTCCAGCTCTCTCTGTGCTGTAGAAATGGCATTCCAGGCTCTGTGCACCTCGCTTTGTTTTTGGCCACGTGTGGAGTGTGCGAGTGCAGCTGCGCCCCGAGCAGCAGTGGGCTCTCTCCTGGATCATGCACAAGTGTAAGAGGAGTAAATACCCTCAGCCCCCTTTTTTGCTTAAACTCGGCTGGCAACACCAATGCTCCCGTGGCTATTAGCAAGCCGATTTGCTGAGCAAGCAATTTCTCTCTCAGCCACACTTTTCCCTTGGTAATGGGGCAGGTACTGGTTTATTAGCAAAGAAACTTTCTTTCCTAATTCTTGGAAGAAGGAGCTCCAGGGAGGGGCAGGCTGCAAGGGCTGTTAGGAAGGTTTGTAGCTCAGAAATGAAGAAACAGCAGGTTTGAAAAAAAACCAAAGGAAGTATTTTTTTTAACACAGAGGGCATACTTAGATTCTGGATTACATTGCCACAGGGTATTGCAGAGGCCGAAAGTGTACTTGGCTTCAAACAAGGCTTTGATCCATTTGGGATCCAGTAGAGGCTGTTAAACACAACAGCCCAAGAACAACCACGTATTTGCACTGATGCTGGAAAATGGGATAAGGAGCATGTTTACACGTGCCTCATTTCTTATGCTCCTCCACAAAGCAACCAAAACTGGCCATCTGGGGAGAGACACTATGGAGAGATGGCCAAGGGTGGCTGTTTTGACGTTCTTATGTTGTGAGGCTGTTTTGGACTGACCAGGTTGTACCTTGGATAGATGCTGTGACTCAGGCAGCCCGGGAGAGGCTGGTTATGCTGTGAATAGACACTCCATATGGCTCGGGTTGAAGGGACACCGTGTGCCCAGGCTGGTATCTGACTGTCACAGGTGCTGCAAGCAGCATCCACACACCGCTGCCTGCTCCACAGAGGGGCTGCAATGCTGAGAGCTTCCAGAAACGTGTTCCCAGCAGACAGGCTGGAGCAGGAGGCAGTGCCTTGTGCTGGGAACAGGATGAGAGCTGATAAGGCCAGGCTGTGGCAATGGGACCAGCCTGGGCAAACATGCCTCTCGCAGGGGTTAATCTTTTCTTGAGTGAAACCCTGAGCTCTGCAGGTCAGGGGCTGGCTTTGCAGCAGTGCTGTGGAGGCAGCAGAAGAGGTGGGCTGCTGGAGGCAGCTTTCCTGAGGGCAGGCAGGTCTGGGAGCTGAAGGTTTTCTACCTGCTTGCAGGTATCTCTACATTCAATCCATGCCTGCTGCGGGGAATTTCTGAGGCACAGCTAGACCCATCCTTTTACAAAGGAGGACCGTGTCCTTTTATGAGGGGGGGATCATCTCACTCATCCTCTGTTCTCCGTGTCCTTACGCTGCCTCAGAACACAAACGGGGGAGCGGGAAGGTGAGGAGCAGCCCAAGGTGGACAGATGGCTGCAGAGCAAAGGAGGCTGCAGGCAGAGCGGAAAGCTGCTCCCTGCTCACCTTCAGGCACCAGAAGGGAAAGCCCAGCAGGGCGCTGGGCAGGGGAACGAGATCTTCCTACCAGTGCAGGGACAGGTTTGTGGGTGAATGAGAGTTGCCCGGTAGGAGAGAAGGAGGTGAGGGAGGAGGCACCAGAGCCAGGGTTGTGCTGCAGGGCAAGAAGTGGAGTGGTCCATATCCTGCTAAGCACCAGGGCTCCTCGCCTGCATCCAGCAGGGCACATGGTCCCTCACCCAGCTCTTCACACCAAGATGCTCTTGGGCTCCTTCCCAGCAAATTTTACACATCACAGGAGAACATGCATGTTCCCCACAGGGAATAACAGAAAGGGCATCAGAGGACTGTTGGCACTCGGGTGATGCAGCCAGCATCCTCCCTGCAAACATCCAGGTCGAGTTAAGGTGAGGATGAGGACTCACAGGGTCAGGGAGCTCAGGATTAGAGCCCCTCCGAACACTGGGCAGAGCTGCTCCTCTCTCCAGGATGGGCTGGGAGCTGAGCCCAGCCTGGATTCACAGCTGTGGTGGATCTGATGGGAGCTGTGTGCTGGGATCCCAATAAGGATCTCGGAGGCTTTGCAGTACCTAAATAAACAGCTGTTTTGTGAGCAGCAGAACTCATGAAGCTTGGTTGCCTGGGGCGCTTTCTCTTGTGTGGATTCTCTGATGTCTAATAATCGGGTTGGGCTCACATTAGAGCCTTTTCTTCCAGCTGGGAGTCCTAACTTGGATTTCTGTCCTCTCTCCTGCTTCTTTTCACAAGCTTGTGCTAACCTAACTCCTTTCAAGTCTTTACCTATCTAGTTAAATCTGGCTGAAACTGGCCAGGTGATCTAAGATGTAGCAGGGAGGACTGAAAATGTGGCCCCATGCACCAGGGGCCTGCATACTGGGGAATGATTATCAGTACAAGATAATTTTAATCCCAAGCATGAGGAAAATAGGAAAGGCTTGGTATGAGTTTTGGCAGGAGAAAGCAATCAAGAAAGAGCCCAGGGTGCCTTGTGGGCTCTCACAAGCTGTGCTGATGGTCACGGCACGCCTGCTGGGCCAGCTAGTTTGCAGTGAGAGGCACGTGGTCCTTGGCACTACCAGCCCCCACAGGAGCTGAATCCAGAGAGAGGTGCACAGTCCCAGCTGTGGCAGAGCTGGGGCACGCTCACACGAGTACCTGGCACGCTGCAGCTGGCTCCTGTGCCAACATGTTTGGGCTGCTGCACCGCAGTGCCCAGCCCCTGGGCCCCTCACACCCTGCCTGGTGAGCAGCTCCCACCGAGCCCCCTTCCCACCAGCACCGCCTGTCTCCAGCCCCTCAGGCCTGTTCCTTTATGAAGGCAACAGGTACCCTGTTTCCATCAGAGCCACCAGTGGGATCTGCTGTTTCTTCCCTGCCTCCTGGCTGTCCTATCTGCCATGCCTGGCCATGGAGATAGTCACCAGCCCCCAACATACCCCTGGTTATCTGTGCAATGTAGCTTCTGGACCAGAGGCAGGATTTACCCCCTTGCTGCCGATAACTAAGGAGGGCAGGAAAGCATTAGGTGAGGAGGGACAAGCAGCTGATCATTTCAGGGCAGAGAAGAGGAAGGGGATGAGGAACAACACATAAGGATGCTTCCCCCTGCCCTTGGCAGAAGCAAGTCAACCTCCTTGATGTCACACCAGGACTGGAGCCAGCAGCAAGGCAGCTTGCACTGCAAGGTTCCCTCGCCCCCCATGCCTCCTCCTGCGACCCCAGACCCCCACTGAGGGCTCGGCAGCTCCTGTGCCATTAACTCTTGCTCTAGAATGATGTTGCAATGCCAAGACAGATAAAGATCATTGACCCT